TTATGATTTTTTGTTATTTCAGAATGCATATATAAATCCTAAAAAAGTATTTTGTTTTATATTCTACTTGACAAGGCTTAGCAAATTATGGCAAGCAGCAAATGAGTACATAGTTCATAAGTAGAAGAGATCATTGTTTTCTATACTTCATTTACTGTTCTACGCTTTAAGAAAAAATAACTGAAATTTAAAAACTTGTGTAAATAGTAATATGTTACATATGTAATGTATTATAACCGAAATATGATTGTATTTTACAAAATAGTGGTCCACTAGAACAAAGTCAAAACAGGTTACTTTGTAAAGGCCAATTTTATACTATTGGATACGGTAACACGAGTGCATGTGCGCTATGTCATTGCAACTTCTGTAATGTTAGTCAGACATGGCTGAAAGGTCAATAAAATAAAAATAATATATATATATAGATGTATAATGTTATGAGATTTAGATTATTTAGACTAAACATTTGTGGTTTCATGTTATAATTTGTAGTCATTCTAGAACAAAAAGCATTATTTATATTTATTTCCTAATTTTATGATGTTGACGAGGTTGGTAAAATCGAGATACAATAATGAAAATAATTGATAAAATATATAGTTTTTTCTAAAAAAAAAAATTTCAATAATTATCTGAAGGTTATTAGGAGGTTATAGAAATTTTGCATATGCAATTTGACAATTTTCTGATGCATAAAAGTATTTTTGATCTTAAAATCAAAATTAATTTGCATGTCAGATAGCCAACACTCAAAAATAAAAATATACTAACAATTCATTAATTAAAAAACCGGAAAACTTAATTGAAAAATCTGATATTTTGTGTATGAAAGCTTTGTAATGTTTACTGATAATCTGCAAACTTTCATGAAGATACATGGCCATTTTAAAAAGTTATAATATAGCTAACTGCTTTATGGTTACTTTGGGGGATACGGGATGGGTGGAAGCTACCCACACATAGCAAAAGGGTTAAAAGTATTAGTAGGATCCTTAAAGCAATCCATAATGAATTTTGTTTTCTATGAAACAGTTCAAAGCACTTAATAAGTAACCATTATGGCTGGTGAATTTGTATAGTTCCAACCAAACTATTACAAAAGATTTGAATCTAACAATTATAATCAAATGTAAAATATATTTAATTTTCCTACCTTGATCTTTTGGATACAAGTTGGCAAGAGCAACAATTTCATGGCCTGCAGCAACACACTGTAACATACCATAACAGCTATCTTTTCCCCCACTGCAATGAAACAAAGAAGTCTTGAATACTTTAGTATAAATATACCAATAAACAAAAAATTCACATGTGTATAAAACCATATTAATAAAAATAGGCTCATACAAATGCATAAAGTGCCAAAATTCATTAAAAAATATTTCTTTCTTTCACAATAACTATTTTTACAACTGCAAGTTACTTGTGTATTCTTTATTTCACAGAAATGTCATAGTTATGTTTTGTGAATTTATCAATTGTGAAAAATTCTGGGAAATTATTTAATTTTCACATATAACTTGAATATAACAATAAATGATAGTTCAAAGCTATCAAATAATTACTGAACAATACTGAAAACTAGAAAAAGACCTATAATTACGTTACTTTCTTAGTGAGCTTATATATCTATATATTTTCTTAATATAGATTAGTAAATGGACTATCAACTTTGTCTTTGGATTTTGTAGGAAGTTTCAGATTGATTAGTTACATTTTCCAAGAACTTCTAAATATAAAAATTGCTATCTTAGAGGCTGTATTAAAAATTTAAATCCTGGATGTAAAATATATCAGATGGTCAAAAAATAGCTCATTCTGCATTCACATGATGCATAAAAAATAGGAAAAGGACACAATATAAAATAATACTTAATACAACAAGTGACCTGTTAGTCCACCTAGGCTGTACCACCTACTAAACTATATATAATAAAAAAAAAAAAAACTCAAATTCAGCCCTTATCATCCAATACTTATGAAGCCTTCCCTCAGATTTCTTTAAATTTACTACTTCTACATCTGAAGGTAACCATTCCAAAGGCCAACTAACTAGAAATGAATCCTAACCTGCACAAAATTTATATCTGTGTTTCCTAGTCTTACCAATCTCAACATTAAATACAAAAAGGATGATGTATCAATACTATCAGTTCCCATAACAATCTTAACCCCCAACTTCTATTTTTTCATGAAAAAATTTCAGAAATATTAACCTGTCCTTGTATGATAACCTTTACATCTCATGTATCATCTAAGTACCCCTCCTCTGAACCATTTCCAACATTTCAATGTCCTTTCTAAGGTAAGAACCCCAAGGCTGAACACAATACTCAAAATGTGGTCTTAACCAATGAACTCGACAATGAAATTAAAACCTCATTAGGCTTGTATTCAATTTCTGTAGATAAAACCTTAAGTTAACATTCTCCTTACCAAGAGTTATTGCCTCGCACACACAACCATGTAATTTTTTATGCCAGCCAAAAGCCTTGAACAATAATTCCACCCCTACACAAGTAAACGTATTCCACCAGCCTTTGACATAATCATCATTAGACTATATCCCTTCACCAATGAAAGGGTAACACATTCTCCATGCACAGTAATCTCCATGTGCACTAATATGATGACCACGGGATTATTCTTGATGGAGACAACTAAATGCACTAAAAGTGGGAAAGAAGGGTGGGAAGTGGTGAAGAGAGGTAAGTATCTATCTGAAATACATTTTCAGGTAATGAAAATGTTAACTTCAGAAATAATTCTCACCATTCTGAAACACAAAGAGCTGGAATCCCATAATAAAGATGATGGTGGGGCCATTGCTGAGAAATTACAAAGAAGAGCTCCTTTTGAAAAACAGTGTCAGTAAAGAAAAACCTGTAGAGTGTGATATTCACAAGGCTGGGGTTAACTTTGTGGGGCAGCAGTCAGTGGGAGACCACATCCATCTTTAGAGGAAGCAGAGTAAAAGGTATTGTCAGAAGAATCTTTTGCTTGATACTAACATGGTCCTAAGGTGAGCAGAATGGCATACTGCTCAACAAACCATTATCAAACAGGTGTGTGTATGCGCAGCTAGTGCTATAAGTCAAGCCATTCCATATTGGAAAGTTATTACGTAACATACACATCATAAAAAAATCAGGTACAGGGAGTAGCATCCCAGACTTGTGCCCTGAGGTGAACCCAAGACCTATTTAGCTGGAACTAACCACCAGGAATGGATTGCTTCATAATATAGTAAGGTGTTACTATTATACCAGGTAACAACCCAGTCCTACTTCCCAAACAAATGCACCAGCCTCATTCTTTTACTATTGAGAATTGCAATATTAATCCCTTGGATGTTTCAAGTCAAAAGTCTCGTGGTTAAATGTTGAAAAGATTTATAAGCACAAAATAAGTAATGAAGAACATACACAAATTTACAAAACTATGAAGATGATTACCCCTGACTAGATTGACGTACTCCATGCATCCTTTTCAAGGGTATACTGTATGTGTACCGCAACATCTAGCAAATTATTTTCTTGGTCTGATTTCTTTATACGTATTCCGTTAATCACTTCAAGATTGGTCAGAAGACTTAAACCATATATCATTTTAAGTGGGGAGGCTGGGTGGGAAATGTGATCAGAGGTAAGTATCTATTGGAACTACATTTTCAGTGTAGGAAAATGATAACTTCCAATATGATATAACCACTTCTCACAAGATAGCTAGAATTCCACATTTAAATGGTGGAGGGCTGATACAAATAGAAGATTCCCCTTTAGGAAGCACCCAAAGAGAGACCAGGAGGTGTGGAACCAAAAGAGAAAACATCGACCTCAGCAGGAGACTACATCACATCTGATCCAGCTCAACTCTTCACTTTTATGATAGTGTTGTGAACAAGAAAGGCATAAAAACATGAAGGAATCCCAGAATATTATTGACTGACGAATGGGACTCCTGGTTGTCAAGTGGCTAGGGCACAACAAACCATAGGGGTACTTTGACCTCATCCAACACCAGGCAGTATTTGGAATGGTACATCAGATCAGTAGTAGGTACTGAAAATGGGAATTGGTAAGGAAGGCAAGCTTCCATACCAAAATTTCCCACCACTTGCATGCATTCCCAACACCAGATCCACCGGGAATCAACATCCAACAGACAGTGGGAAGGTGGAAGGCCCCGGCAGTATGACCTCTCTGATCTAAAACTGGATGGCAATGGGTATAGTACTTCCAGTCCACAGTAGGAGGAGGACATAAGGCTGTACACAAGTGGGAAAACTGGTGGTGTGTCCAGCTACAACTAACACCAGATCCTCTAGGAACAGACATTCATCAGATGGTAGGAAGAGGGATACCGGCCAGGACACGTGTGTGGACTTACTTAGCTGGACTATTTCCAACCAACATCAGACCCACTGGGAATGTACATCCAGAGGATGGTAGGGAGTAGGAACATCTCAAATTGAGGGGCAAACTGCAATATATATATATATATATATATATTCATGACATGGCAGATTGCTTCAACCAAAACCTGGCATCTGTTCATCAGTTCCACAGTAGGAAGGGCATCATGCCATCTACGTATGATACTAATCATGACTGGGGAATGTACATCTACAGAATGGTAGGAAGGGCGAGTACCATAGTAGGAAAAAACAATCAGTCAAACATGTAAACAGGTATACAGCATAGTGCTACAACCAAAACCTGGAGACATCTAAAATTGTACACCAGGTCCGTGGTAGGAAGTGCTATATGCCAGCAACATCTGCAGAATGCCACTGCCCTACTCTCAACTTAGTGGTATGATTCATCACTCGAGGAGGACATGCTTCCACGGTCCACCACCCCAGCGGCTAGGAACTAGTAAGTGGTAAAGACTCCCATACTCCATGAGAAGAAAGTGGGGAAAATGTATTGGAAAGACTGGAGGACATCATCACCGAAAACAGCGCAATGGGTTGCCACGATACTGTTTTGAAAAGCAGAGAAACTATGTAGATGGAGTCAATCAACCAAAACCAGGCGGCATCTGGAATTGTACATTAGGTCCGTGGTAGGATGAGACTCAACGCCACAGAGCAGCAGAGATGGGCAGCATTCATTGTCTGCTTTACTCATGTTAGTTCAGGAGTGTACGTTCCATGACAAACAAATTTATGAAGCAAAAAACCACTAGGTAGAACTACTAGCAGTCCTATGGAACATCCCTTCACTACGGTGTATATAACCCAAACCTGCAACGAAATTGTTTAGTCACATAAAACAAACACACAACCAACACCTGGCAGCATATGGAATTGTACATTAGGTCCACGGTAGGAAGGGCTACAATGTAATTGATATTGAGCACAGCCGCAAGATGGATAGTGCAGATTTTCAAAAAAAAAGTATACCTGGTCAGGCACCACTTGCTAAAGAGTGGAATCCACAGTACAATAGCCTAAAGGCCCTGAAAAAGTACAAAAAATTTTAAAAGAAAAAAAGCAATCTTAAACACATACCAAAATGCAAAAATTTAAATACAAAGTCAAGAAAAACTAAATCAGTATTACAATGGAAAATGTCGACAAATCCATCAGCAAAAACTAGCATGTTAGTGTAGTACTACTACAATCGAGAAGTGATTAACGAGTGCAACTGTAAAGAGGGCACTTGTTATGATAAGAGTGGTGTTGCACTCCTACTGGTAGATATGCAGAAGCAGGAGGTAGAAGGCTAGTGGTATGCACTGAAAATTTGTGCCAATAGAGGGCAGTGCTAGTCAACAAAAGCTATTTTGTGAGCGGAGGTAAGATATTGTATCAGATGCCACACCAGTGAAATCCAAGCAGTGATGGATAAAAGTAAAACAACCTGATCCACATTGGGAAGAGAGAAGCAAAAGCAAATGTGGAAGCAACAGTAGTAAAACACTCACAAGATGAAGCAGGCTCAGCTGAAGTAACAGAAGTAGAATTTCGGGAATCTTGGATCTGAAATCACAATGGAACTAACTATGTAGTGCACAATGGTAGTAATATCACTGACCATCAGTGTCTCCAGTCATCATGACAATATTGGATGACTCCTGTGAAAGAGTGTTAAAAATCTTAGTAGATGTCAGAAATGTGAGAAAACAAAAGTATAATCCAGTTAATCCATGTAACTGATTTTGTGATTGTCCATTTATGTAAAATATATAAAAATGGTTTGTTTGAAAGAAAAATAAGCCAAATATGGTGATGGTGCAGAGGCCTAATGACAACAGGAACAAATAGTGGAACATGTGTCAAAAAAGTACAAAGTCTATTAAAATAAATTCAAATAGAAGATAATTAAAATAAAAGTTCAAACTGATAAGTTTAAACATGAGTATCATTCATTCATATAATCAACAAAATTAGGAAAATAGACTTCACAAAGAACAGTAATGAAAGATTAAAACAAGTGCTGGTAACTTAGTGGTAACTCTAATAAAAAAACGTGTCTGAGGACAAGCAATGTCAAGGAAAGAAGGAGCCTGTGTTCACTTGGTAGTGCTCATGAATATTACCACACACATGGAGGATGTTTTGCCCTCCTATTAGTGGAGGTCTATAGTTTATTGATTATTACATTCTTGACTGACACAATAAACATGAATCTGTGTAAGGGTGAGAGCTTTGTTCAAGGTTTGAGACATGCAGAAAATTATTGGCAGTGAATGTGAATTATTAACTCTTACTAGTGCAGAGAGGTGATTAGCATTTCTGAAATCATATTTGCTCTACCACTAGCTACAGCACACTGCTTGAATGGCTTAAGAGATTTGTCAATCTGAACACCAAGATCCTTTTCTTCTATAATTGTTAGTTATTACCATCAAAATTATACTTATAATTCAAATTATGATAACATGCATACATTTCTTTGCATTTATTGCAATTAAACATCATCTGCCATTTATTTGCTCAACTCATCAAATGATCTAAATCCAATGATACAACTTATTCTCCATATTTAAAGAGATAATTTCTTAACAAGCCTTTCATGTGGCATCTACCTGTTCAATCGATTTCTGAAATCTCACATATGCCAAATCCACAACTTTACCCCATCTACATAAGCAGTAACCTCTCAAAAGAACATCAAAAGATTAGTAGGCAAGATTTTCCTCTAGTGAAATCATATTATCTATTTTTAAATACATTTCTACATATATGAAAAATATTTTACATACTGTACATTCATCAATGTATTTTAAATTTGGTGAATGCAGACAATTTAATGAAGTTCAAGGGAAGAGTTAATGAGTAACTCAAATGATCAGAGCTAGCTTAAATCTTTTTTTAAGTGGATGGGACAGCTTTGATGGAACAACAGACCCATTGTTGTCCTTAAATACATATTAGTATACTTCAACGAAAGATAATTTATATATTTACAATACATGAAAAAAATGCTGGCTCCCATAACATACTCAATGTTTAATATAATTTTTTGCTATTTATTCGGTAATTTACTAAAACTTTTTGATATAAACTCCTGAAATTAAGCTAATTCATTAGTAATCAACTGATTGTCTATTTATTTCTCTGGGATTATTATATCTTTCATATTGTATTCCATTAAGCACCAATAATAGCACAATTTCCAAGTGAAATGACAACACATACTTATATCAAAATTTCACTTCTATCATTTGGATATTTCCTTATTCTGAATGTTCAAATCTCAAAAGTTAACATTTTCTAACACTGAAAATGTATTTCTGATAGATACTTATCATCCTCATACAAAGCTATCTCTATCTTGAACTGCCCTCTAAGCATTCCTAAAATTTTCAACAGTGCACCAATTATACTCCTTCGTTTTTGTGCCATTGCAGCAGTGTGCTGATCATGTGACTACCCTCCACCAATCATACTCTATACTCTCTACTATTGCAGCACAATCCTCACTTTTGAGAATCAGCAGATAAAAACCAGAAACACTGGCAAATCAGTGGGGAAGAAGGGTGGAAAGTGGGTGAGTGGAGAAGTACTCACTGGAAATACATTTTCAGTGTTGGAAAATGTTAACTTTCGAAACAGTACTACCTCATCTCACCCAAAGCTACAATCCCACATTGCAAAGGTGGAGGGGTCAGTGAAGGCACAAAAGCAATCACACAAGCAGAGAACAACCTCTGTGAAAGAACAAGTGTGTCACATATATAAAAGCAGGAACACTTGTGGGTATAGCACTACTTCTGGAACAGGTATGCTCTTTGCCCAGTAACAAAAAAAATAAGACATATAGGGCGGAACTTAATAGACAGGCACCATGTCATGTAAGACAGATTCTGCACATAGACAACAGATATTACGTAAGATGTCCATATATGTAACAAGCATGAGCACATAACACAATGACAGTTGGATTTCAGACACCTGTAATCTGATATCACAATATGCAGCTAGAGATAAAGGATCATATGAACAGGCCAAGTGCGGTCCCCTCCGGGTCAGAAAACATCCAGGGGAAGCACCAAGTGCAGTCCAGGGGCAAAAAATCATGGAAGCACCTTGCATATGTTTATAAGATCAACAAGTGCAGTCCACCGAGGAAAAAAAAAAAAATAGGGGAGGCACCTTGGATAATATGGAGTATGCCAAGTGTGGTCCACCTGGGTAGAAAACATCCTGTGGAAATGCCTTGCATAAAAATAAAATCGTGTGAACAAGTGAGGTCATCTCAAGCAAAAACATCCAGGAGAAGCATCTTGTAGTTATTGAATATAGCAAGTGTGGTCCATCCAGTGGAAGCACCTCACATAAATAGTGTATATGATGATCAACAAGTGCAGTCAGCCCAAGCAAAAAACATCTGGGACAAGCATCTTGGATTGAGAATATTATGATAGTGTATAATATGAAGTATAATGACGATAGCCCTCTTCTCACAGAGTGACTACATATAACTATGAAGTTTGTTTTATCATACAAATCCCATTCTTGAGGAAACCTCTCACTCCAGTAACTGGGAACTGGAAATGGCAAGGGGGAATACACGCTGGGGAGTCCGGAAGAATGACACATTGGAGACAGTGCAATGAGCATCTGTGTTTCCCTATTTTGAAAAACAGAAAGACTGTGATTATAAAAATCACAGATCAGTAAAGATGGGCAAAAATCCCCACCTGCTTTACTCAGAAAGTCCATGAGTGAAGGTCCTTCATATATGATAAAGTGATGATAATATATATAGACACACACCATTAGATAAGCAGCCAGCAGTCTTGCAGAAACACCCCATCTCCACAGTGACATTACAGAAGTATACATATTTAGTGCTAAGATATAAAATTCCAGGCAACACCCGCAACTAGATGGGATCCTGAAATATGATGTATGTCAACTAAAGAAAACAAAAAATAATAATATATCAACGGTCAAAGGCAAACGGACATGTGTAGAATCGCCAGGAGAAAGATGATACCTGCACAAGGAAGACATAGCTACGTTGTGCAGAGAAAGAGCAACAAATGTAAAGGAAGTTGTCCACATATCAGCCTGAACAATATCCTCCAAATGACGGCAGTTTCGCGCAGCTAAAGACTTAGTTAAATGACGAATTTGGTGTGAAGAAACATAATGTACACTCCGACCTGCCATGGACACGTCAAAATATGCCAGTCACATGAGTTGACAAACCCAACCAATGAGCATAATAGGAAAAAAGTCATGGGAAACAGAGGAATACCAAGGGAAAATTAGACAGAAATGAGAACTATGAGAGGAGATGGTAAAAGCCAAATAACATAGCAGGGAACAAACTGGACAAAGGAGATGATCCTGATCCAAACAGGAATACAGGTTGGAAAAAGAAAGAAAGAAAATAGAAGAAAAGGGAAAACAACCTTCCCGGGCAACCAAGATCTTGGGAAGGAAGGCGTGATCCCAATAGTGGATAACATATGAGGAATGGTAAAGGATGGCATAAATATTGGAAGGACCATGACTGCATACCAGGAGGGGGAGGAATTACTTAAGAGAAAAATTGTACAAGAAACAAATTACAATGGGTTCAAAGAGAGAACCAGACAGGGCATGAAAAACAACCCCGAGATCCCAATCTGGCAGAACAAAGTAACATGGTGGATGGACCAGACGAAAGGAATGGAAAAGGAGGGAAATACCAGTGAAGAGAAGGCTTTCCAGAAGTGGGAGAATGGAAGGTGTTTGACAAGGCAGCCCTATAAAGAACAACAGGTGAAACAGACAAACCCTGATCAAATAACCAGATGAAGAACTAAGACAGGTGAGGAACATAAAGACAGAATGGTCAGAAACAATGTCAAATAGGCCAAAGTCAGAAGCAAGACCAATGCCCCTGGTACACAGACAAGGAGGAAGGGCAATTGGTACAGGCAAGGAAAGATGTTACATGAGGGGTGAGTCCCTGAGCTGAGGCAAGGTACCAGACAAAAGTCACATGGAAAGTTGGAGTGTGGTGATGTTGAGATGAAAAATGTCAGATCATCGTTGTCAGAGGAGCGATCAGGACAGATAAAAGGGCAGGGTCTTTTGCTCTAGTAAAGGCCAGAGCAGAGGGAACCATGTCTGAGCCAGCCAATACAGAGCAACCAGCAAAACACAACAAGGAGTGGTCTGAATAAGGGAAAAGACCCAGAAGAGGATTCTCACTGGAGGGTAGGCATATAGATGAAGACCCCTCCAATCTTGACTGAAAGCATCCACCCCCAGAGCTGAGAGGTGAGGAATTGCAGACCAAAAATGAAGGAAATTTGGCATTCCAGTCAGTGGAAAACACATACATTTATGTGGTGTTCCCAGTTGAGAACACACCCACAGAAACACCTAAAGATGAAGAGACCACTCTGTGGAGAACCTGGTTGGGACGTGAAAAGAGATTGGCCACATGGTTTATAACTCTGGGAACATGACCCACCAGAACTGCCATGTCGTGATCACTAGCCTAGTACAGGAAATCTAGTCTGAAAAGGCAGAGATCTGGACTTAGTTTCCCCTGCTTGGTGAAAAAGCTGAAGATAGTGGAATTATCAGAATGAACCATAACTACCCTCCTCCACAAAAATGGGAGAAAATGATACAGAGCCCAATGAACTGCCAAAGGTTCCAAGATGTGGATATGGAGAGTAATCTCCTCGACTGACCACTGATCCAAATTTTCTGGGGAATAGAGGAAACCCCCCAAGGAAGCATCTGTGAACAGATGAGACATGGGACGTGGCAGAGGAATGGAAACCCCAACCATGGTCAAGTCACCAATCAAGGTCGGCCCTGATCCTATATGGAAGGGAGGTGGGATGGTCCAAGGGATCATGGGAGAAGTTCCACTGGTTGAGAAGCATCAAATGAAAGAAATGCCTATGTGCCTGATCCAATACAATAAGAGCTTCCAAAGAAGCCCACATCCCCAAAAGAGATAGAACCTCATGTGCAGTGAGAGAGAAAGAAAAGGTAGTTCCATCCTGACTGCCCACTCCATATCCTGGAGCCGAAGTGGAGAAAGCTAGGCTCGACTGAGATGAGAAGTAAAAATAACCCCCAAATGAATAAGATACTGCGAAGGCGTTGTAAAGGACTTCTCCAACTTGATGAGAAACCCCACACGAGCAACTTCTTGAAGAAGGAAGCAGATGTGAGTGACTTACAGGGCACGGGAAGAGGCGAGCAGAAGCCAATCATCCACGAAATGAAGAGTCTGAAGACCCAGCGAGTGAAAATGAAGTACCAAAGAGCATACCACTTGACCAAACACATATGAAGTTGAAGAAAGAACTGTAAAACTCAGAACTGGAAGACAGAATCCTTGTGGAAGATCCCAAGAAAAAAGATGTGACACTGGGGCTAAAAATTCACCAAAGTGAGATGTTACCAGATAAGGATACAGCCAGAGCAAATCAATGATGAGACTCCAAACTCCTGTGTTTTTGAAGACAAAACAAAGATGGGAGCAAAATCCCAGTTCAGCTTGCATCACCATTTTGATAGCTCCTTTGTGTAGTAAGACTCGAACAGACTAAGCAAGATGATTGGACAAGATATGATCCCAAGGAGGAGGGAAGGAGATCTGGGAAGTGGATAGAGGGGGAGTGAATGGAAGGCAGAAACCCACAGATTGAACCTGTATACACCACGGTACTGCTGTGAAGTGTAGCCAAAAATACACATAAACTAATGAATTTAGAAAAAGTACTTATTGCTAACAAACTAACAAAACATAGAAATGTGTATAGTATACAAAGTACATGAAAATAACAAACCAGCAAAACTATGAAATTAGACCTAAAACATAAAACAAGTAATATCTGAAGTAAAAAATCACTAAAGGAACTGAAATATCAAATTTATTAGTCCACTCAAAGAATCTATGAGACAAAGGACCTGAAAATAAACCCTACCCTGAAGAACATGTGAATAAAAAGGCACCCAGTTAAGAATAACAAAGTTTGACTCAAAACCAATCCCCAATTAGATGTGACTAGTAATAAAGAAAAAATAACTTACAAACTAAATAACATTAGCATTGAAAAGAAGTAAAAATTTAAAAGAATTAAGAAATAAATTAAGTAACCTAAGTGTTAAAAGAAGTATAAAAATATAACTTACACAATGCTGAGCAGACATAATTTATCGAGTGCAGATATTAGATCCATCCGCACTAGCTCACATAAACTCATTGAACATAGGTATACCTATGAGGAGTGAGAAATACACACTGAAAAACTTACCACACATCTCCTGGTAAAAAGAACAATACCTAACCCAGCAGATTACGAGAAGGCACTGTATCAGGTGGAAAGTGCCACAGAAAGAAACTTTCCACAAAATAATTCCATCCCTCTGCACAAAAATCATAACTTGAAAGGAACAAATTGCCAGCTGAATGAATGAAATGAATTCCCCACAAACTAAAGTCTGTGCTCACCAGCAGTCACCATCAACTCTAAGACTTGGGAATTAGTGTTAGAACCATTGTCTACTTATGGCGGGAATTTTATCATCCACCATATTAAATCTCAAATTCATATGAACAAAGTACAAATCAGAATACAGAAATACTTCAAAAACAAATGAGTAGAAACAATGGAAATGAAACAAAAGAAGTTGAAGCTTGAAGTTGAAATTGATATAAATTTGTGATCACAAGGAGAACTAGTTAAAACACACATCTATACACTAGAGTGCCAATTGAGAAAGTGAGGATTGTGCTGCAATGGTAGAGGGAGCAACCCGCACCAGTAAAGAGGGCACATTATGATTGGTGGAGGGTAGTCACATGATCAGCACGCATTGCAATGCTTAGAGGGCAAATCAAGGTCGAGATAGCTTTGGGTGAGGTAGTTCTGTTTCAGAAGTCTAGCCACAGTATTAATCTAATTCTAAGCACTATGCATCCTTCAATGTCTGACTCATAACTGGGTAAGCAGTGTGGTTCAGCAGTAGTCACCAAATTTAGTCTTGTCCTTCAAGTTACCATTTTCTTTTTTTAATACTTTTCACTGCCAGTGCAGTCTACATACTGCATCACATATAGAGCTGGTCAATTAGTAATATTTGATTATCAAGTATTACAGTGTTCCGCAAGCTGCAGTAAGTTCTTGAGCTGGGCTACTTGATCAGTTACTTAAGAGCAGCAATTACATCAATTAGTGTCACATTAATGATTAAAAATAATGCTTCCAACTATTACTGTTTTCAAAATTATCTCAACAATTAATAATAGCAACTATTAACATAAAATAATAGATTAATCAAAATTAGGGTTTCAATTATTTCAACTATTCAAGTAAGTGAAATATTGCAACCAAACTTTGCTCAACCTGTGTATGTTATGACAAAGATACTAAAGCTATTTGCCACTTTCACTAATGTTTAAATGCTTACTAGAAGAAAACAAACTCTGACTTCACCCACCACCAACTGCTTTTTGTTACTGTTGTTGATGTCAAACTGCCAATTAGAGAAAAGGCAACTGGCTGCAACACCCACCAACTTGTTTTACTTGTACATACTATGACTCAAAAATACTAATTGACTAATCACACATAATCAATTAATGGGGGCCACTGATTAATCTATTAGTAAATTGTACTAATTACTTAGCTCTAATACACACAGTCACACACGCAAAAAAAAAAAGTGTTGGTCATTAATTCCAACCAGTTTCCTTCCCTCTATTCAACATTACAAAAAGAAAAAAAGTTAGTGGCAGGTACTACCAGACAGTTTGAAATTAGTGACAGTGGCAGACAGCCTTAGTAGATTTGCCATAACAAAGACAGGGCAAAAAAGTTTAGTGGTAATGGGAATTGAACCAGAGGCCCTTGAATCATAAGCCCCTACACCCCCAAACATTAAAACTGAATAAACTTAAAGGAAAAAACATTTAAGGCTAAAATTGGGCAGAGCAAAGATAGTTCATTATTTAGCTATGTGCTTAACAAAAAACAACTATAATAGTAATATTTTGAATACTTGAATAATTGGAATAATCAGAAACCCTAATTTTGATTAGTTTATTATGTTCATGACTATCAATTTAATCTTAATTTTGATTACTCAATTGTTGGAATAACTGAAAATGGTAATATCTAGAAACCCAAATTTCAAATAATTTGGCTATTTTTGTGACAATTGATATAATCAAAATTTTGAATTATAGGAATAATTGAAAACTTTAATAATCAGAAATACTAATTACAATTAATAATCAATCACTGCTCAGAGGAAATTGATTATGTCAATTAGTTAACCATATCTGTCATGTTTTAATCACAATGAGTAATTATATTTTTTTTTGCTTGTCACAAAACAAAGTGCAAAGAATTGGAAAACAAACTGGATGAAATAACTTATTTTCTCTGTAAAATATATAGGGAATCCCACCAGTAATGAGTGGATTTAATTGCAATATTTAACATTTTTACTTACTCTTTTTTTTGTGTGTGTAACTCGTATGTTATTAGGAACCCTCTAAGCATTAATCAACAAAGTCATGGACCCACATTCAATGGCTTAAATAAAAAAGCAAGAGCAACATCACTGTCAGTTATAGTTATAGTACTATTAGTATTAGTACCAGTAGCATTTGTTTTTTAAACTGAGGATTGGTTTAGATATTTACTATTCCAAAGGATGTGTGTATAAGGACAGCCTTGAAGGACACATAGTCTCTTCTTGTCTATACGTTATGCTAATGAAAAGCACTAGTTTCCACCATTGATGATGGCAATGCACTAACTTAATATTAGTATTAAACACCTAAATCTATCTTAATTGGAGCTCGGCTTATCTTTTCCAAATCTTAAACTTGCATCCTTTTATCCTATTAATATTATATTCAGCATGCAGTGCAAAAATAAGCAGCAGCCTTTACTCTATTGATCCAAAAGATAATCTTGTAAACTTCAAAAAGACTGCTTCTTACCCTTCTTTCTTCAAGAGAAAATAGACTATGGATAAGAGATTTTAACCTATCTCTGTAAGTTAATCATTCTATTCCTAGTAGCCCCTCCCCTGAACCCTTTCCAAGTTAATATACTTTTTTGGATAAAAATCCCAAAACTGTATACAATATTCCAAGCGAGATATACTAGTGATATTTATGTGAATGATTACCTCCGTTGCCTTGTAATTGTAATCAATGTCTATAGTTTATAGACACAACCTTAAAATTTTATTGATTTACTACTAGTAGTACTACTACTAGCAACAGAGCACTAACTATAACCTCAATGTTAGAGACTCGACCCTTGAATTGAGCCTGAGGTGCTCCACAGTCCACTACTGGCACTAAATACTAAGTTTTTTGGTGGTATTAAAAACGTGGAACGTTTGTTTTGTTTACATTTTATGTTTTTACAGAAAAATACTAGCATAATTACAACATGAGTATCAGTGATTGTGCTAGGTTTCCCAGGCACATACTTTTACCCCTAACAAGGCCATGTCCATATAGGTTATTAGAGTATTTAATAAATACACTTTCTCTTCATTTGGTTCATGTGAAAGTTCTGTACATTGCATACGCTTCCTGCAGTATTCATACATATTTTTCTTTAGTTTTAAATTACTCTGAGAGTGTTGTACATAAATAGGTTTTCAATAATGGTTGCACGGCTTGAATGGGTAATGAAGAAAAACTTTTATACAAGTTTAACATAACAGCAAATGTACAACGTTTCGACAAGGTTTTGTCATCATCATGCTCTGCGAGTTTTTAAAAACTAATTATAGGATCTAGCTGTAACAATAGGTGACCTTAATTTGTTATTTCTAATGTATATGTTAACCACGGAGAGGTGCTTAGGACTACTTTTCTCATGAATATGGTAGCAGTCTAATCCACATAATACTTAATAGTTCATTTTTATTTCAATTTTTCAAGAAATAATTAAGTGAACTATGTAGGGGTCTATCAGATAGTGGTGTAAGATTTGTGTAAAAAGAAGTTGATTTTGGTACTTCTGTTTTACCCCAGTAACTGTTAAAGTTTAACAATGAGGCCACGTCAGGCCTAACACAGTAACAACTAAACAATAGCCGGGTTTGACTGGAGTGGAATCTATCAGTATCAATGAAGTTACTCATCTAAAACAACAATTACACATTAAGCACCTAAAATAACATCTCCTTACCTGATTAGCGCAACAACTTTCATGTTTTGATTTTTTCTTCTTTTGTACAAATTAATTAAAAATATGCTAAATGTACAGCACGAGTAACATAAAACACAACCACTACTGTTCCTTAAATTTGATTAACGACAAAACTATCGTAAAGGGGTCGTAGCATAAATAATTTTATTGAATATTTTCAAAGTTTAATTGATTCGGCGCTAATGCCAAGTTTCAGAAACATATCAACATAATTCGATGACGAGGAACCCACTTTGAGAC